CGCACACACACACGCATACACACACACACACACGCACGCACACACACACACACACATGCACGCACGCACACACACACACACACACAACACACACACACGCACGCACACACACACCATTTCTCATCAAATTCTTCCAAGATCAAATCATCTGACCATGTGAAGACTAAAGATGCAAAAATATCAAAGTACGTCTGAGATTTTTTTTTCTTTTAAATTAGCATTTTTATCAGGCTTCTATGTTTAGGTTTAGTAATTTCACTTTAATTATTAGTCAGTTACTGAATGCCTTATTTTCAAAAATATTTTCATAGGAGCCTGATAAAAAGAAAAATCTCTGAAGGATTAAGAGGTTTTTGCATCTGAAGTCTTCATATTAATTTTAAAGCTGTGCGCTCTAACTGATTGAACATTTTTATTTTAAGGAGAAACATCTCAGATGCTTCAATTAAACATAACTGAGAATTCTTTCTGAGAATCTTGAGATATTAAAGAGCAATGTTTCAGCAATAAAAGCTTCCCTTTGTAAGACGGATGACTTTGGTATATTCTGAACATGTCTGTAAATTGCAGCATTTCATAAGCACATTGCAATGAAATGCCATATGTGATGTGTGTGCGCGCGTGTGTGTGTGTGTGTGTGTGTGTGTGCAAAAGAGATATCGATAGCTGTTTCTGCAACAGAAATTCACAAGCAGGCATTAGTTGTGAATAATTCAGCATCCTGGACAAAGCCAGAGAAGAATCGTCTTGCCCTCAATTTGTTCTCCTTTTGCTTCAAGCGTTTCTGTTTATTCAACTCTCTCTTATCTTTTATCTCACCTTTTTCAGAAGTCCCTCTTTGTGTGTGTGTGATGTTACTGGACTTACAGGGTCATTAGTTCTGGTCTCAATTGAACACTGAAAATGAAAACTAGATTTGCTTGGGAATCACACTGCTCTACAAAAGCAAAGCACAGTAACACTGCATCTGAGAGAAATGATTCTGTGTTTTGACCGAGTTTTAATTGATCCAACAACAGAACACCTCAATCGCTTGTTAAGAGTCATTCTTGTCTACATCTGCTCCGGCGGTGAAACAATGGCGGACTGATGACAGTCACTCAGGGCGGAGCTAAGACGCCAGTCCAGTCTGTACTGAAATGCTACTGTCAATCAAACTATCGTGGGAGGGGCATCTGAGATCGGCTCGATTTGAAAAAGGGGTAAATATTTTAGTAGATTAGCAAAAAACCACTGGGTTGATTTTTATCATTATAGGGTGGTTGTGTACGCACACTGCCAACACACATTTCAGTTCAAACAACTCGTAAAAGTGCATGTAGCATCCTATGACCCCTTTAATGTCAGTTTTCACCCTTTGTTTTCACCTGAATCGGAGACAGTTGAGTCAAACCTGTCTGTCACTGGATGGATCGCAGTCTAAGAAACTCTGTTTTGGCAAAAAGTATTGTTTCTGTGTTTTGTCTGTCTATAGCAGAGCAGTGTTTTAAGTGTAGGTTTTACAATGAAATTGGGCATCAGAGTCATTTTGCTGCACATAAGAATCAACACATAATTCGAGATTATGTTGCAACAAAGTCATTATGAAAATATTACAATGACATCTTGTTTCGAGGGATGAATATTCTGTTAAGTCAGTGTGAGATTTTTGAATTTTAATCTTACATTTATTATGGTATAGCATTTATAAAATCCAAAATCAGATCGAGCTTTGTTTCATAGAAAATTAAGTATGAGTGTGTGGGTTCAGAGATTTGTGCTGAATTATTTGTTGTTTATTTGGAATAAACTCTGAGCAGAATATCGGAGGAATATCAGCGCTGCCACACAAACTCTGAAATGAAGTAAATAAGTCTTTCTTCCATTTCACTCACAGCATACGCATGAATGTGTGAATTACAGTAGTGCCTCAAAAGCTTACACTGATGTTGGTAAGATATTTAATGCTTTTGAAAGAAGCCACTTCTGCTCAGGCTGCATTTATTTGATCATAAATGCAGTAAAATTGTGAAATATTATTGCAATTTAAAATAACTGCTTTCTGTATCTGTTAAAATGTAATTTATTTCTGTGATCAAAGCTGAATTTTCAGCATCATTACTTCAGTCTTCAGTGTTACATGATCTTCAGAAATCATTCTAATATGCTGATTTGCTGATCAAGAAACATTTCTGATTATTATCAATGTTGAAAAGTGAAAACAGTTGTGCTGTCCCAATATTTTTGTGGAAATTATGATACATTTTATTTTTCAGGATACTTGAAAAATAAATGGAAACTTCAAAAGGACAGCATTTATTTTAAATTAAAATATTTTGTAACTTTATAAATCTCTTTAATGTCATTTTTGATCAGTTGAATGCATCCTTGTTGAATAAAAATAAATCTTACTGACCCCAAACCTTTAAGTGATAGTGCACTCTAAAAAATGCTGGGTTAAATACAACCCAGTGCTGGGTAAAATAAGGACAAACCCAGCAATTTGGTTGTTTTGATCCAGCGGTTGGGTTACTACCCAGAAGGTTGGGTTAAACATTTAACCCACACACTCTCTCACACACACACACACACGCACGCACGCACTCTCACTCACACACACACACACACACACACACACACACACACACACACTCACTCACACACACACGTGTTAATTGCTGGGTTTGTCCCTATTTTACCCAGCACTGGGTTGTATTTAACCCAGCATTTTTTAGAGTGTGTATATTGAGTTCAGCGCCTGGAGATTTTATGATTTCTGATTTTCCATCCTCTATTTCCACACTTACAGCAGCTACAACTACTTAAAGTCAACATGACTCTTTGTGTATTTCCTTAATGCGTGTTCCTAGTCTTATTATGAACAACTCATCAGTGTGTGCTGTTATAACAAACAATGTTTGTCTTCAGAATCTTTCATTGTAATAATAATGACATCCTCCGCCTTCTTCCTTCTATCAGATCAAATCAGTTTTGCACAATAAATCACTTCACAGAAGCAAACGTCTCATGAACGACATTTCATGCTGAATTTAAGTCACTGCTGTACAGTATTATCTGAACATCATTTGCAAAATGACAGCGTGGACGGTCAGTCCGAACGATTTGGAAACCAAATTGGATTTTTATGCTTTGTGAAAGTCTAAAATTCATTTTTACAGCACAGAGTCTGTCAGAGCAGAGTCACAGGGAGAAACGCTCCCTAATGAAGCGCAGTAAATGACTCTGGTTAGGAACACGTCCTTCCATCACTATGAGAGAGAGAGTTCATCGTCATCCTGTGTTCATCTGTGTCCGTCTCTGAGCTTCTTCTGTCGCTCCTGAAGCAATTAAAGCGGGTTGTGTCTGGTGTAGAGAGATCTGAGAACCGATCGCTTCACTCGCTGATATGGTACGGCAGCGGTTGCCATGGAAACAGCTGGTGCGGCGGGAATGTGCTCGTATGTGCAAAAACACACGCGTGTAAAACGGGACGGGACCCTTGTACACCCCTCTCTTCTCTCTGTCATTGATGGTCTGTGTGTTTGCAGCAGACGGAGTTTCAGAGATGGAGTGAAGACCAGACCTCTAGAACCTGAAATTGCTGGATTTATTACAATAATCATTTCATTTTATATGCCTATTTATTATTCATTCCTTCATTTCTTGTCTTTCGATTTCTTTCTTTCTTTCTTTCTTTCTTTCGGAATGTATGAATAAAATAATTATAATAGAAAGTTATTAAAATATGTTTAATTTGTTAAAATATTTCAAGAAATTATTTCTTTCTTTCTTTAGGAATTTATGAATAAAATAATTATTATAAAAAGTTATTAAAATATGTTTAATTTGTTAAAATATTTTAAGAAATTATTTCTTTCTTTTGAGATGTATTTATTTTAACAATTATTCTAATAAAATTATTAAAATATATTTTTTTACAAATTTATTACGACATTTCAAACAGTTATTATCAAGTATTTCTTTCTTTTCTTTCTTTCTTTCTTTAGGAATGTATTAATAAAATAAGTATAATAAAATGTTATTAAAATATGTTTAATTTGTTACAATATTTTAAGAAACTCTTTTTTTCTTTCTAGATTTATTTTAACAAAAATAATTCAAATAAAAGGTTATTAAAATATTTTTAACACATTTGTTATGCCATTCATTTCAATCATTTCTTTCTTTTGAGATGTATTTATTTTAATAAAATTATTCTAATAAAATTATTAAAATATATTCTTAACAAATTTATTACGATATTCATTTCATGCATTTATTATTAATTCTTTATTTTGTTCTTTCTTTCTTTCTTTCTATAGCAAATAAAATAATTTTAATATAAAGTCATTAAAATATGTATTTAACAAATCAATTATGATTACTTCATTCCTTCAAACACATATTTAATATTCATTCTTTCATTTAATATATATTTAGTTATTTTTAAGATTTTTAATAAAAATGATTCTAATAAAAAGTCATAAAATATATTTAACACATTGATTAATATAAAAAAATTATACAATTATTTATTTATTATGTATTATTTATAATTATTTATAAAAATAAATAAATATGTTTTTAAATAATTAATTCTAATTAGTTGCTGCATGTGATATGCACCACAGACAACAGGATCTTTATGTGGTTTGAAGATCAGGACTCTGATGGAGTGATGGGTGAATGAACTGCTGTATGGTTGTAATCACTTCTGTTTTTATTTAATTTCAGGTTCCCTCAAGAGCTGAATATGGGCAGAATCAGTGCTGAAATCATGTGGAACCTCTTTGCCATGGATATGAAGTACGCAATGGAGGGTGAGTTTCTCCTGCTCCTGTTGTTACTTTCTCTGTGGGCTTGCTGGCGTGATTTCTGTTCAGATCTGAGAGCAACACATGTCACACATCGATTGTTTCTGAGCAGAACAAAAATTACATCATATGTGATGCAGGTTTATGTTCGGATTCATATGTTAATGAGCTGTGATGTCATAGTCATGCTTTCTGAGCGAGTTGTTTTTTTAAATTTAGTGGCTGGCGTGATTTCTGTTCAGATCTGAGAGCAACACATGTCACACATCGATTGTTTCTGAGCAGAACAAAAATTACATCATATGTGATGCAGGTTTATGTTCGGATTCTTCTGAAGCATCTTTTATGCTCTTCAAGGAGATATATTTTTCGGTTTAGTAGCAGTTTTTTTTTTTTACTCTTAAGTCTAACATAATATAATGTTTTACTGCACCAAAAAACAGTATATGTAATGATATGTAAATGTGGGCGGCCATATGTTAATGAGCTGTGATGTCATAGTCATGCTTTCTGAGCGAGTTGTTTTTTTAAATTTAGTTTCTGTAAATGATCTGGTTGGACTGGAGAGGAAGCTGTGTGTTGAGTATGTCTGCAAACTGCATTATAATTGTACTAGAATATTTCTATTGCGTTGTTTGTGACGCTGACGGCAGCAGGACAGTGTGACACCAGTGTTTTATGGATAAATTTGGAACAAACTCTCTAGGATTCAGATTCACCTGCGAAATTTGATTCAACCACAGATGGTCCGCTGTCAAAGGCTGACACACACACACACACACACACACACACACACTGCTGACCACAGATTGTGCTCTTACCACAGATTGCTTGCTTGGAAAGCTAAGAGAATGAAAGGCCACAAACACACACACACACACACAAAATTGTTCTTGAAAGAAAAAGGTGAATGAATTGCAAGGTTATTCTCTCCTCCACACACACACACACTCACACATACACACACACACACACACACACACACACACACACACACACACACACACACATCTGACATTAGAGCATTTAAAAGGCAATTCCCTCTGATTCAATCTCACATACATTGACTGATCTCAGTAAGGACGTGCCATAGACTAGCTAACACAAACCTTTAAACACAGCATTTTTCATTTTTAGTCTTTCTCGAAACCTGTATATCTCACACACTCACACACACACACACACACACACACACACACACACACACACACACACACACACACACACACACACACATCTGACATTAGAGCATTTAAAAGGCAATTCCCTCTGATTCAATCTCACATACATTGACTGATCTCAGTAAGGACGTGCCATAGACTAGCTAACACAAACCTTTAAACACAGCATTTTTCATTTTTAGTCTTTCTCGAAACCTGTATATATGATGAGTTTTTTAAGGTTTTCATAATGCTTAATAACGCATCCTGTAATCCTCTGTATCTTTTCATAAATCACTTAAATGCACACTGTTAATTCATGAGCATGCTTTTAGAGACTGTAATACATTATAAAACAGTATGACACATGGAACTTGGTTTTGATCTTGTGCTGCATTATATTTTCTAAAAGTGTGAGCCTGAATAGTTGAGTCTTAAATTGTAATTCAGTGACTTTGTTTACAATAACCACATACCTGTACAAACGCAAATGATTGTAAGGTTAATTTGAATGCATTATAAATGCATTAAGATTGTATTTATGCAGTGTGTGTGTGTGTGTGTATACAGTATATTTATACAGTATATACACACACACACACACACACACACACACAAGAGAGAGAGAAACATTTTATATATTTGATTAGATTATTACATTTTTAATTGCAGTTGTACCAGTGTATGCAGTTTTAGTGTATGATTTTACATTGTATGTTTACTTTCCTTAAATAGAATCATTACATTCACTATTGTTAATGGTTATTTTGATGCTCCATTATTGTTTTTTTTTTGTTTGTTTTTTTGCATAGGCTACATAGATGTCTGATGTTTGTTTTTGAGTTTTTTCTCTTTTGTGAAGTAATTAACTTTTAATGAAGCAAGTAACTTTTTTTACACATGAAATACTCTCAATCTAAATCTCAAGCTGTTTCACACAGTGAATTATAGATATTAAAGGGACAGTTTACCCATACTATGGAAGTTAATGGCTATCATCAACTGTTTGGTTACCAACATTTCTTAAAATATCTTCTTTTGTGTTCAACAGCTAAAAGAAACTCCTATAGGTTTGGAGCAACAGACCTGTATGAGTTTCATTTTTGGGTGAACTGTCCCTTTAAGAAAGACAAAATAAACACTGATATTGAAAAAATTACAAAACTGTGCAACCTAAGGTTCAGATCTCACAGACTGAAGTGTCTGCACACACACACACACACACACACTTAAACACACCAGGGATGACCTGCAGCTGATGTCCTTCTGCTGTTTCTGTGGTATTTGAACATTTATATGTGCTTGTTGGAGGTGTGTGTGTGTGTGTGTGTGTGTGCCACAACCTTTGACAGCAGATCATCTATGGTTAGATTCACACACACACACACACACACACACACACAGCATCTGTATCACAGGTTACAGGACCATCTTTAGGTTGCCATAGGAACCAGGTGTCAATCTATAGATTTCACACAAACACACACACACACACACACTTACCACACACCTCTCAGCCTCTGCTGTCATTTCTTATTAATTCGGATTGACATGTTGCCTTGAGATGTCACAGAAAAGAAAAGCTCAAACCTTTGTGCAGTTTCATTTTCTTTTCATCTGTGTTTTTCTGGAGGGCACGTTCAGAAATCTCTCTTCATTTGAATATAATCCAGATTAGTTTGTGTTGACACGTTGACGTTGATGTGAGGCAGAACGCATTCGCTTTAAGGCACCTAAACACACACACGTCACACACACACACACACATTGATCTGTTGGTTTGAACTTGTATCTCTGCGTTTAGAAACCTGCTTTTTTAGATTTAGCGTTTGTGTTTTGACTCTGTGTTTGGATGTTTGTTTTTACTTTTACGTTGTCTGTGTTCGGGATCTGGAACAGTCTTATTGACTCTGTATTTAACACAGACGTGATTTCATACATCACAAAATAGATGAAAAATAGATAGAAAATAAATAACTGCCGGATGAGAAGATGTGACCAATGTATGTATTGTACAGTAGACACTCGGATCGAACTCTGTTCTTCTTCAGTGTTGTGAATAGAAAAGAGCTTGACTCAGCATGGATCTGCACTAAAAAAGCACACATTCAATGCTTTGTGTTCACAGCTGCTGTACTCAGATGCAGTATTGAGCGATAAACTTTACTACCTCACTTATGAGAGAGAGTCATAACCTCATAATCAGTTAACAGCAAAACTTCACTGGTTCCACTGTAAACAAGTACAATATTGTCAAAGTATCAAGTGCAGAGCCAGTGGTGGTTTTGTAGGCAAACGTTAATGCCTTGAATTTTATGCGAGCAGCTATTGGTAGCCAGTGCAAATTGATAAACAGAGGTGTGACGTGTGTATATATATATAAATATATATATATATATTACTTAT